AAAAAACATTTCAACCCACTTCAATTTTTCAGTTTCATAATAAAATTTATTCCACAAATAGAATTAATTACTTTTTATTTATTAATCACTCTATTATAAAATGAGATATAGAATACGATTGAAACTTTTTATTATATATTTTTTAACTCTATTTTAGAGAAAAAAAATGATGTATTACATTGGAGATATTCTTAATGCTACTTTCTTCAAGTAACTTTAAATAATTTCTTCATTTGGTATCAATGGATTTAGTCAAATCATCATCATATAATTTATATACACTAAAGACAATATCAGATGTACAATCTATTGTATACGAACCATATATAAATATACTACTACTGTTACTTATGAACATTTTTATTCATTTTGTATTTCCCTTTTTCTCCGCTCAATAATCTTTCCTTCCGTTTAGCCTGGTATCTCTCTCTCTCTTTTCATGTTTTTAATATGTAAACTAGATATTGATCCGTCCTTTTAAAGGACGGGCATATTTTTGTTTAACATTTTTAAAAAAAATTAATTTGCATATTTGTGTTTTTTTAATTATATTTTTTCTAATCATCTTTGTATAAATTTTTTTTTTAAATATGAGTAAGGGTTTTGATATTGTAATTTATTTGTGATGTTGAATAACTATACACTTATGTCATATACATTTCACACATTAATTTTGTATTTTATTCTTAAACAATTATTAATTTTTCTTTTTCAAAATAACAAAGTATAGTTATATTTTTGCTTCGGCTTTAAAACCATAAATTTATTTCCAAAATAATTCAAATATATATTTTTGATTATTTATTTACATTTAAATGTTACAAAAAAACATTATCAATGTGAAAATTATAATATGTTAACCTTTTAATATAAATGATTTTGATGATGAATTATGCAATCAGGTTTAAATAAAATCAGGATATTTTTACATTTATTAAAATTTTGAATTATTAACATAATTAATATTTGTATTCAAAAAACCTATGTGCAATCTCCATGTAAGTCTGGGTCTTGGATCCGTTTAAGTTTAACCTATATACTCAAAATATTGATTTATTGTATTGATCTAAATTTTATTAAATTTAATTTATAATATGATTTCAATAACTATTTGCGATATTTTCTTATTGATCCGAATCCACGATAAATAATGGTAAATCGAGTGATCTGCATAATCCATCTCAGACTTTAGATTAAATTATAATATTTTATTTAAAAAACTCCATAAAACCCGGCTAGAAATCCATAAAAAATTTATTGACCCATGATCTGGTAATGGTCGACCAAGAAAAACCTAGATAAATCTAACCATTTTTTTATTTTTTATTTTATTTAAATTTAATTTCATGATAATTAATATTTAGTTTATTTATATGCAAAATTTTAATTTGGTAAATAAATTAGTAAACTAATTTGTATTTCATGAAACTGAATAAAAAACTAATTATATTTGGTCTATGAAAATACTTTTTATATTAACTTTACAGTGGTAAATAATAGGGAAAATTGGGAGAAATGCACTCCAATAAGATTATAATTTGAAAAATATACCATTGTTTACGTTTTTGGATACACTTAAGTATATATAAATTTACCAAATTTCCCAATTTTAATATTCTTCAACCCCTAATATATTTATTTAAAAATTTGTAAACATCGTTAGAGAATCTACATAATATTTTTAATATATCTTCATAATATCTTTTTAGTATATCTTAAATTTTATTATTTTGAAAAAAAATAAAAGAACACGCTGTCTCTCATCTTCTCGTATCCTCTCCATTTCTGAAATTTATTTTACTTTTTCTCTTATTTTACAGATTTTTCTTCTCATTTCATTAAAAGGTTTGTTGATCGATGAATCAGATTTCAGTTTCTAAATATGCTTCTATTTTATTCTGACAATAATTTTTTTTTCCAGGAAAATTATGTTACATTTGGTTGGAGTTTAGGAGAGTGGGAGATGAATAAATAATCATGGAAATTCATGGTGAATACAAGATCAGGAGGTAAATTATTTACCATTAAGGAAGGTTTGAAGTTTGCCGATATTGTTCAGATGGTTCACGAAGATTTCAATGCTTCGAGATATGCATAAAGATACACCTCTTGTTTTTGTGAACAATGATAGCCAATTGTATTTTATATGTGAAATGTGTAATGTGTAATTATTTATTTTATAATATCTTTATAAAGTTAAGAAAACACAGTAAAATATATGTAATGTTCATGATAAAGTCAAAACAAAGCATAATTTGTTTTATTGTATAATATCTTTGTTATTGTAAACTTGTAAATTGTAAATTAACATATTCATCTTAAACACACATGTTTATTTTAAACATTACATAATTGTAATATTCTTATTAATTTCGAATTTGTAAATTAATTATTGAGATTTTTAATTTGGGTAAAAATTAAATTCATATTTAACAATGTAGTTTTCAAAAACAAATTAAGGGAGAGTATTTTTCAATTTTCAAATTTTAAATAGGGTATTTTGCAAATTATTCCTAAATAATATTATATTAATATATTATATATTTTGTTAAAAGGGCAGGGTTAGTAAATATAAAGCATAAACTTAGATTTCAAATATTAGTAGCTATCATAATAGTAAGAATACATGTGGATATTAATTCACTGGATTAACTAATTTATAGTGTATTAGTAAAGTATTATTTGTTGATTAGTACTAATATATATTGTCTGTAACAAAAGTGTAGATTTGAAAAAAAAAAATGGCTGTAGTTATTATACAGATTTTTATCGAACATATACAATAATTTATTTGTGCACTCTCATAAATGTAGTAGTTATTGATCCTAGAATATAGGAATTAAAGGAAAACAGTTATATTTACTTTATTTTTTGAAAATAATGGTTACAAATATATATTCAAATGCAGTTATAATTGTTGGACATAACATTTTATCAATTGGAAATGATTCTAATTTAATATTATTGACTAGGTTTTGACCCGCGTTTTCGAAGCGCAGATTTATGTTTGATGTAAAATTTATACAATCGCATTTCCTATACATGTAGAATGTAGGATAGACTTGTTTAGTTCATTAATTTCATCAAACATAGTATTTTGAAAAAATATAAGATAATATTTTGGTGAAATTTTATATGACCGCATTTTTGTTTTATATAAAGTAGATATGTGCGTAAAATCCATAGCTCGATGTCTAAACTTAATCTAAACAAAAATAAAATGGATCCGTAACCGGTCAAAAAATCTAAAATATATCAGAATGAGTTTTGTAGGGTGGTTCAAAATATATTCGAATCAAAGTGTTATTAGCCAAACCCGAACGAATAACCCAAAAACCAAACAATCTGGAAAAAAACCTGAATCGATATTAATGTCCAAATTAATCATAAATATAAATATTTGAAACATAAATATCTAGTTTAAAAATTCAGTTGTATATTTATTTTAAAATTATATTTAAAATTAATTATCTAAATTATAAATAAGTACTTTAATATCCAATTATATAAAAATAAGTATCTTTTTTAATTTTTGTTTTAGATTTTAGATTTCCAAACCAATATAACCCAAATCCGAATGATATATGGTTACTTTATCGGTTCTAGGATGTGTATAAATTAGAACTAAACTCGATGTGTTATATTTGAATCTGATCCATACTTACAAACATGTCTACTTACAAATTATGACACCTATGATGTGATATAAATTAGCTTTGATTCAAAATATTTGACTCGTATGCCAATAGGTACTTGAACTCTCAAGCATAACTTAAATTATGTTTTAATTTTTTTAAAATTAATTTTATATTTGATGAATATTTTATCTGTTTATAGGAATAACCCGTAAAATTATAATCATAAAAATATCAGTAATAACATGTTTCCTCATATAATTAAGTATTAATAGTAGCTTTATTTATTTTATAAAAAATTATATATATATATAAACGATTTAAAGACTTTATATATGATAATTATATTATTATGTATTGGTGGAGGTTTTAAGAATTTGTTTATTATTATTCTGTGTATCAGTTATATATAATTTAATATTATTTTTTATATCCTAATGTTGTTAGTTTATATATGTATATTAAAATATAAAATTATTTCTTTTTTTAAATATCTTATGGTAGTATTTTGTTATTATGTAAACGTAATTCATTTAGTTTATAGTTTATAAAGTAGATTGATTTATATTATAATTATTATTTTGTGTAATTTTTAGTTACAAATATGAAATATTTATATATAAATGTTATAAAAGGTTATTCTTATTTTATAAATCAAATGAGTTAATATTCATTTGTAATTTGATTTAATATTAATTTACGTTTTATTAAAATAATATTAAAACAATAAGTATTTGTTTTTAAAATAAAAATATATTGAAGATATTGTTAAAATGTAATCTGAAAAAGTAGTTAAAAGTATCTTTTTGATATCTTATTTTGAATATATTTAAATATTATATTAATATTATATGTATATTTAATAATAACTAAGTTTGTTGTGTGTAACATAACATAAAATTAAATAAATGTAATGTTTTAATAGTATTGATTTCCCTTAATTTAACAGTTTAACAAAAAAACAAGTTCCATTACTGTGATACTGTTTATATTCTTAGGAACTTTGTGACAGAAGAACACAATCAACGAAAACGAAATTTCAACCCATTAATTTAACAGATCGATTCTTGTTCTTGCTTAGAATCGTGGGTTTGCTTTAGTTACTATATATGATTCTATGATCGATAATGAAAACTGATGGATACTGTTTTATTGTCTTAGGAACTTTGTGACAGAAGAACACAATCAAAGAAAACGAAAATTTTTATTTGAAAAATACTATCCAGAAAGTGGACCTTAAAAACAAGCCGGTCAAAGTAATCTACCTTTAACTCTGGTCTTAGTCAATAAATGAGTGCTTTCTTCGTTGAAATTTAGACACTTGGAAAATTTGCTCTTACAATATTGTGTGGTCGGAGGAAGAAACCAAAACGAAAAGTCATGTTTGTATCTTTATACCATGAGTCTTGTGGAGATCAAACTCACCATTAGTCTCAAAAATTTTCTTTCTGGATATATATTTGGTGGAACTCTCTACCTTTAACTCACTTTACCTTTTCTTTCATGTAAAGCAATGAATTAGAGGGTTGGTGAAATCTGAAAGGAATCCAATTTTGTTGGAGTTTTGTTATATATTGTAAGTCCAGTGTCTAATCTTTTTTGACCTATTTGTTGAACTATTGAGAATAGCTTTGACCTTTGATACATATCCCTCGATGTGATATGTTTATTCATATGAACCCACAAAGTTGAATCTCTTAAGTTTCTCTTTGGTGTCTTATAAGGTCTTGATATTGCAGTTTCTTGCGTCTAATTTAAGCTGTGACACTCATCAAAAGCTATGAATTTTAATCACAAAGCTCATCCGGATTGCGTATATTCAGACAATCCTTTCCATGAATGTGCTTCAGCTTGTTTAGAGAAAATTGCTCAAGGCCATGTCAAGAAGAAGACTAAGAAGCAAGGTAAGGTCATTTTCTCTTTTCGTTTTTTTTTTCTGATCATTGTTTTTCCTTTTGCCAATTTTTTTTATTTGTCAAGTAAAATTTTGTGCATTATTGTTTTCTTTTATAGCAGGTTTAAAGGCTCTTAGTTTCTCAGGAAGTTTCGGTAGGAAAAAGAAGGAATCGTATTTACAACCGCTTTCACCGTTATCTGCAAAGCCATATCAAAACGGTGGAGGCAGTTTTGGAAACGCTAATTTTCCTAAGGTTCACCATGCAGTAACTGCACCTGTTGCTGTGAAGAACAAGACAGTTTCTGATACCAATAAGTCTTTCTCCTCTTCCTCATCAGATGATTTCTTTAAGCATAAACCGGAGATAAAACTCTCACAAAACATTCCTCTTTCCCAAAACAATTTGGTATTATCATCTTTTTACTCTCTTCCATGATGCTATTTATTCATCTATGTTATATGTTTCTCAATGTTTTTACATCTTGTGAAGGCTGATAAAAGCAAACCGGTATCACCTAAACCGGGAAAACAAGATAGAAAGATTGAAACTACACAATTTAATTTCCTAAGCTCTATAATACCGCATGGAAAAGCGAGCAGTAATGATGATGAAGAAAACAACAATGAGACTGGAGTAGAACTGGATCTTGAATCAGTAATGTCTGACACTATCGTCTCTGTCGGGAAATACAGAGTGAGATCCGGTTCAGCAACAATCTTAAGCAGTATCATCGAGAACCATGGAGACATTGCTCAAAACTGTAAGCTGGAGTCGGGATCAATGCGGTCTCGTTACCTCGAGTGTTTATGTTCTTTAATGCTGGAACTTAAGTCAACCCCGGTCGGGAAGTTGACCAAAGTCAAAGTCAAAGAGATGTTGGCAGTTCTCAAAGATTTGGAGTCTGTGAACATCGAAGTGGCTTGGCTGCATTCGATTCTTGAGGAGTTTGCGCGGTCACAAGAAGATGTAGAGAGTGAAAAAGAGAAGCAAAAAGGTTTATTGAAGGCTAAGAGAGAAGAGCTTGAAGCTCAAGAAGCGGGTTTGGTTCGGTTGGAGGAAGAAGTGGCCGAAGCGAGGGTCCGGATTGAGGGGACTCGGGCCATGATGGTTCAGATGGAGAGTGAATGGATGAGGATGGAGAAAATGGGATTCAAAATGGAGAAATTTAAAGGGAAAACGTTTCTAGATGAGTTTTTGTGAGTCTGTGTTGTGTGATTATTATGATGTTGTTAAGTGTTAATAGTAAGTAGTAGCACAAAATCTAAATACTCTAAAATGAGTTTTCAGAGGTTAGGCTTTTTTAAAGTATATGGGGTACGCTTGTTTTATATCACTAAGGTTACTGTTTATTAGTAACTTGGAATGTTGTTGAGGTGTTTTGTTGTTGCTAATAAATTTGGTGTAATCACTTTGTTACTAGATGTTTGCCCGGATGTGGGATTAGCAATTTTATAATTACTTATTATTAGTAAATGCATTACTAACTAAAATGCTATAAATATATATTTTTATTTATATTTTCATTATTTTAATATATTAATTTATGTATTTTCTGTTTATGAATTTTTGAATTTTAATTTTTTTTTATAAACGATACTTTGGATAACAACACAATATATATAAGAATTATCTTTTTAAAATAAAAACTATTTTAATATATTAATTTATGTATTTTCTGTTTATGAATTTTTGAATTTTTTTTTTCTTATAAAAGATATTTTTGGATATCGACACAATATATATAAGAATTATCTTTATAAAATAAAATCTATATTTTAGATTTTGATTAATTCTTATTGTTATTAATTTTAACAAATAATTTAGTAAAAATGTATTAAACAATTCACTTATGTATCTTTTAATTAAAGTGATTTTTTTTGACTAAACACATAAAAATCATCTACGTTGATAATAAAAATAATCTAGGTGTTTTACCCGCACTTGCGGGCCTAAATATTTTATAATTATTTTATTAATACATTTTTTACTAATTGAAAGATTATAATGATAAGGTATTATTTATGTTTTATTTTTTTTTATACCAATAATATTTATATTTTCATTTAAACATTCTTACATATATTTCTTTGTACATTATGTTCACTATTAAAAATAAATCTTAAAATAAAATAATAGTTTTCTTTTTAATTATATAAAATTAAGATGTTTACTTGATTAATATTTAATTATGTATTTTATAGTTTTTATTAAAATATATATTTTCAGATAACAACACAATATATATAGGAATTATCTTATTAAAATACATATTATTTATATTTGGATAATTTTTATGATTATTATTAATTTAAATCATTTATCTAATAAAATAAATATAAATTGATTTTTTATTTTTGGCTGATTTATATATTTTATTGATTAAGGGTATAAACGATATTAACCACTCCAACTTTTAACGTGGGAACTCCGTTGCGGAAAATTACTTGACTTAAAAACAATTACAGTTGAATTAAAATATAAATAATTTTGAATATAAAACAATTATTAGTAACTAAGTAACTAACTTTATATAAGTAACTAACTAAAAATTAATATATTTAAAAATATTACAGTTGAATTCAGAGATGCAATCTAATTTATCTAAATGATAACTAAACCAACCGTAAACAACAAAATTGACTAGATATAACATATATAAAACTATAGTATAAGTAAAGTAATATAATACTATTAATATAAATGATGCATACAAATTATAAATTAATTTAAAATTAAAAGTAAATAATAATCAATTATTATTACATATTTAATTTAAAAATATTTATACCCGTGCATGAGCACGGGAAAATCACCTAGATCATTTATTTAGATTATATTTTAACATTAATATATATATTTTCATGATATATTTACAATAATTTCCATTATTGTAACATTAATATATAATTGTATCATGATATTTAATTTTATATATAACATACAATTGATATTATATATTAGTTAAATTGTATTAATATATAACATTAACCATGAAGTGACAATTGTATATATTTTCATTATTTTTAAAATATATTTTATGTTATTTAAAAATATATATTGATGGAGGTATTACTATTTTCTTTGAAATATATAACATTAACCATGAAGTGACAATTGTATGATATTATCATTGACTTGATTGACTTTATTTAGTTTTCAATTTTTTTTTATTTTTTTATAATTCTTAATTCGAACTGGATTTGGTTTCAATTTTTGGGTATAAGTATTTTCTCTAGATAGAATCTCTTCCAACTTTCGATGTGGGACTTTGTCCCTAATACGCCCCTTCGAGATGATAGCTCTTTGGCACCAATCTCGGAATGTTCGGGCAAGGATCAATGGTCAATTTTGGACCGGATCGATGGGCCAATTTTGGGCCGGATCGGGTTGGACTATATGGATCAGGCTCTGATAAAGTTGTTTTATTTATACTATTATTTGCGAAGTGATTTTTCGCAACGGAGCTCTCACAATAAAAGTTGGAGTGGTTAATATCGATTATACCCTTAATGAAACTTTTATATATAACTAATATTTTAATTAAAAACGAAATTTAAAAAATAAAATTAGATTAATATGTTATTATCTTAGATAACTTAGAATAATTAATATAATAAGTTTATAAAAAAAATCAAAAATAAGATAATTCTTATATATATTATCATCTGAATATTATATTGTAACAACATGCTAATGCTTATATATCTTAATTTTATATATAATTCCTTTTGGCTTTTGAAAATAATATCATTCTATTATAAAATTTAAAAATTAAAATTTAAAAATCGATTCTAATTAAATATTAATCAAACAAAAACATTTGTATAAAGATACTTTTAATTATATAATTAAATATTAGATATTAAAAATTGGAACGGTTCAAGTTAATGATACCTTTAATGAAACTTATATATTTATATATAAATTAGTTAAAAGTGAATTTTATGTTAGTGATAGAAATTTATATGTTATTATATTAGTTAATTTATTATAAATTAATAGGATAATTATCCACATTCATGCATATTTAAAACATAAGATATCTTAGAGAATATTATATAGTATCTGGAAATAATATTTTTTATTATGAAAAATAAAAATTTAGTTATAAAACAATTTAAAATTAAATATTAAGAAAAGAAATAAATATATTTTCAAATATTTTATTATGTGGATGTTTTTCAACACTATAATAAGCATATAGATTTTGATGAAAATTCATATAAAAATATTTTATTGTTTGATTTAAGTTTTTTAAAAATATAAAAAAATAACTTATAATATTATTTTAAAATTAATAAAATAATAAATATTCGTAAGAAAACTATGCCCGCATATGCGGGCACAACACCTAGCAGAGAAAATAATAATTCGACCTAAAACATTAAATATAAATATAAATATAAATATAAAATAAGCTTGTTTTATATCCCTAAGGTACTGTTTATTAGTAACTTGGAATGTTGTTGAGGTGTTTTGTTGTTGCTAATAAATTTGGTGTAATCACTTTGTTACTAGATCTTTGCTCGCATGTGGGATTAGCAATTTTATAATTACTTATTATTAGTAAATGCATTACTAACTAAAATGCTATAAATATATATATTATAGTATTTTCATTATTTTAATATATTAATTTATGTATTTTCTGTTTATGAATTTTTGAATTTTAATTTTTTTTATAAACGATACTTTGGATAACAACACAATATATATAAGAATTATCTTTTTAAAATAAAAACTATTTTAATATATTAATTTATGTATTTTCTCTTTATGAATTTTTGAATTTTTGAATTTTTTTTTATAAAAGATATTTTTGGATAATGACACAATATATATAAGAATTATCTTTATAAAATAAAATCTATATTTTAGATTTTGATTAATTCTTATTGTTATTAATTTTAACAAATAATCTAGTAAATGAATATTAAATTCGTTTTTTTATTTTTAGTTAATTTATATAGTTTATTCATTAATGGTATAATCGATGTTAGCCATTCTAACTTTTAACGTGAGAGCTCCGTTGCGAAAAATCACTTCGCAAATAATAGTATAGATTTGCGGTAATTCCACTAGAACTTCAGTTACTCATGTGGCCTTTATACTGAGCCCACTACAAAATGGCCCAACAGGCAGCTCACGAGCCGAAGACTAAGCAGTAAACCCGCAACACTGAACCAGAATCCCCCAAAAAGAATTGTGCTTGGTCTTTTTGCATAGTATATGAGTAATAAATAAAAGATAACATCATTGGAGATTCAAGTCTTAGCTACTAGTGAGAGCAATAGTTGTAAAGGATTTACAAGACAAATTAGAGAAGATGGCAAATGATGCCGACAACAAATTGATTGTCAATTCAAATCACCTTTGACAACGCATTTTTGTTTTCTTATGTTTCTTACTTTTTATAGTATTTGATGAACCAATTTGTGGAACGAAAAATTTCTGAAGTCACTTTGCTTCCAAAACTAATGTTGTACCATTTTTCTTATTAGACAAGGTGTGTTTTTGTTGAGACCAGAAAAATAACTCAAATTACAAACCAAAAAGTCGGCAACTTTTTAAAGAGTCTGCTTTTAATCAATCTTCTACAAAATTGAAGAATTGAAATCTAAACTCAAAAGAACTTTAGTTAGTAATTAGTTAACAAATGTATGCTATAAAACACTTTGGTGATTCAAAAGAATTATGCTTGATTTATGTGTGTTTCAAATTAGTTGTATTGTTTTCAAATATTAAATTTGATGTTTGAACATGATTTCAAAAAAAAAAGCATAAAATGGATTCTCGTTAATAAACTTTTGTCTTTTGTATTTTGCTTTAACTGTAATTTTGAAGGAGAGAAATATAACGTTTGGTCTTTATATCAGGTAGATATAAGACATGGGGTTATTGGTAGAGCATCTATTATCCCATCAACATTTGGCTAAGAAACATTTAGAAAAGTATTTACCAAATGCAAATGATCTCCAAATACTCTTTGCTCAATGCTCTCATATAGAACTTTTGGGAGAGCATTTGCATATAAGAAAATATAAAATTAATAATTAAAAATATAAACAATATTTTATAATTAAATATAAATTTATATTTTAAAAATAAAAATTATAATTATAATTTTTTTTTTAAAAGAACAATATTTCACATTTAAAATATAATATAATTTATATATTATCGATATAAACATATTATTTAGACACTAATAAATAAATTATATATTAACTTTTATGATAATTTTATATATGAGTAATTTAGTGTTCTACCAATAAATAAATAATATTAATTTATATATAATTATATTTTATTTATTTACTAATAATTATAATTTAATAATTAATTAATTAAATTATAACTATAATTTATATATGAGTAATATGTTATATCCAAAAATAATTTAATATTTTAAAAAAAAACTTTAAATTTTTAAATATAATTATATAACGAAAATTCATTATTTTAATAA